ATAACCACCACTGCAAGGGAAACTTGGTTCATCGTTAGAGCACAATCCACGGCCTTCATAAAACCATAGTGCAAGTTCCCAACTTGCCTTCTTGATCCGTATGATTCTTTCCCGTTAACCATCTAAAGCTGGTTGGATCGTAGAACTCAACTGCAACCTTAAGCCAAACGCAAACGGTATAACTTTTTCGTAAACTGAGGTCTTTTCCAAAGTCAACATCGGGAAGCCTTACATGGTTCTTTGCCCAAAGAATTGCTCCTGTCCTTACTAGAAGCTTAGTAGGTCGAGTCTTGTTCACAGATGATAACTTTGCAATCTTCATAAGGTAGTTGTTTACAACCACTTGGTCTTTTCTTGTCCTGATTAACGGTAGGTCTTCCCTGAAAACTTTGTTGCCGCACAAGCATGTCCTACTTATGAAGGTCCAACGGTAAAACTGGTTCTTAAGTTGATCTCTGACTGCCCTCTCTTTTACTGTTCAAACTTCCCATACAAGATTAACAACTTCTCATTCCTTCCTGGTTTTAGGTAGATCTCTTACCAGGAATCATCGGTGCAGAATCTCACTTGCAACATAGGAACACTCGGTGATCAGATCCGTCTTTGCTTCACTCTTGTCGGTTTGAGTCTTCTGGCTGCCCCAACATTTGATTGCAACACAATTACGTCTTCTTTTCTTCTTGTTGCCGAACCTCATTACTGGAAGTCTTCACATTACCGTTAACTTTCCAGGTGTGTCGACTAGGATAAACGCTACCCTCATTTACCAACTACCACTCAACCTCTTCACGTTGCACGGGATAAGATGACTTGTCAACAACGATGTTCTTCTCTTCTATGTACCTTAAAGGTCCGAGCTTTTCCTGTTGCCATCTTGATCTTTATTACTTTCAAGTTCATTGCTTCGAACTTGTCCAAACTTGGTTTCTACAAGGGTAGGTAGGACTACTTCCATGTTGACACTTCGATTTTACCCTTCAACTCTTTGCGGACTCGTAGCCCTCTAGCTCTGGGAGGCTTCTATCACGTTGATCCACGAACGACCCCTTGGCGTGAGTTGACAGCTTCTTAGAGCGTCTGGGGTCGCTCTTGACTCCCCCTCGCGAGTGAGGGTCTTCAAGACTTGATCTTCAAACTCTCACGGACGTCTTGCTTCTTGACGGGCTTCAACTGCGCGAAACTTAGACTTTGACTCTGGAGATAGCGTAAAACAGATGACGATGTCGAACGAGAGACGGTGTCACTTGCTTGAACGGAGATTGCTGTACCTAACTCCCAGTTGCGGTGAAAGCAGTCCATCTTTTTTACGTTGACCACGTGCCCAGCTGCAACCACCACGACTTGACTACCTTGTGTCAGCAGATCTTCGGTCTTCTTACTCTTAGACACGGTCTCCGTCAAGACTTCAACGAACCCAAAACGAGGCGGCGTACCGGGAAGGTTCACACCAACCGAGAACAACATCTACAACTACTAACGCTAACAACAGAACAAGATAAAAGAACTACACAGATAACAAAAGCTAAATCACAACCTCACGCGCGTCCTAAGAATCCTATACTTAGGTACTTAAACACTTAGAGGCTTCACTAGGCAACTTAAGGTCACAACTTACAAACACTAACCTAAGCTCAACTTAGGTTCTAAAAGTCCAACTCTCAACATCCTAGGCTCAAACCTAGGCTCTGATACCAACTGTAACACCCCCGATTTCCATACGGATTTAAAACTTAATCAAGCAGATAATCTAACCATAAAAGCATACACAGCGGAAGACTAGATATGAAATAGATGGAAAACGTAGAGTGTTATGCCACGCCCACAATATGGTGAACGCACAGGCGTAAACAACATCAACATAATCTATCTATCCAAGAACAAATTCAACGACAACAAGTCTAAAGTCTATCAAAGGCACACAGGCCAAAACAACTACATGGTTCAAGGGATCTACTTTATCCATCTCTAGACCGCACTCGTCTCTACTCGGCACCTGAAAGAAACACATAAATATATGCGACGACGCCCGATCAGCGAATGATGTTGGTAACCCACCAATACATGTGAAATATCATACATAGATATGATATATATATAAAATCATTTACGAAATGGGATATAGTATATATAAGTTCAAATCCAAGAGTAGAAGTCAAACACAAGACTCTTTGAACTCACAATAAAGATAAGGGAACACATCCCAAGACCACAAGAAGTACAACGACACACAAGAACTGCTCAAGGAGTAATCTACCATCACACAGTAGATTATCACCCGACATGCATAACACAAGAGAATAAGGACACAACCATTGGCAACATATGCCTTGGCAACACATGCCTTTGTGACAACACATGTCACAAATAGAGAAGTACACAACAATGGCAACACATGCCTTCGTGACATCACCCATCACGAATTGATATGCCTTCCTTATGCCGGGTTCCAACCTTATGGCTACCCCCAACCTTATAGCTAGTTCCAACCATTACCTCCAGGATCCCTGTACATACAAGTCCAACCTTTTCCGTCCGAGGACCGTCGTCCCCATCCGCCGACAAACCGCCAACAAAGCTACCAATTCATAGTACACGAGGGTACCGATCACACACATGGCAACACATGCCTCCCAAGGAATACGTGAACCCGACACACGGGTCACAAACTCCATAATCACATCATGGCCACCATGAGAACCATTGCCGTACCTTGGTGACTAATGTCCCATACCAATAATCGTGCAATCTAGGTACAACCACACACACAACACTATCACAGGAATCAATCAACCGATCACAACGAAGATATGAAACCATACTCAATCAAGGAATGGATCACAATCCAACAACAACGATGATTAACACAAGTCATCATCAATATTAGGAAAGGACAAACAACACACACGCTAGCATTTAAACACCGAACTAGCATGCTTATCAAACGGGTAAACCAAACGTAGTTCCGAAGAACACACAAGACTCCTCACAGTTGAACGAATCACAATGTTGAACACTTAGCACGATTCAAGACACCAAACCTACATCGATTCCTACCATATAGTTCTAGACATACAAACATCAAGAAGACACTCAAATAGTTCCACAAAAGAACATCGGGAAGTCAAAAGACCAAATAACGAGTCAAAAGAATCACGGGGAACAAATCCCCACCCAAGCCTCATATGTACCCCGCGGGTGGGGCCACGGGTGGACCCCCACCCGTGGTTCCGCCCGTGGGAACACACTCCCACACACCACGTACCCCGCGGGTGGGGCGACGGGTGGACGCCTACTCGCCGTTCCGCCCGCGGGTACACCTTTGTACCACAAATTATCCCTTTGGGGATTTTCAACACCAAGCTCAAATTCAAGTCCAAAACATGCCAAATCTCACCAAATACAACAAAATGACTTGAGTCAAAGGAATAGCCAAGCAATGGCATACACGAACCCTAATAACAAGCTCTTGATATGCACTTTCACAAGACAATGCATCAACACTCACATTTCATAGCAAAATCACATGTAGAATCTAATAAATCATCATATAGGTAAGAAAAGTAGATTTTGTAGAGCATGGGTTACCTCATTCGCTTATCCAACCAAAACCAACGCCAACATAGGCTAGGCTTAACACAAAAACCAAGTTACCGGGAACCTGTGGATTAAACCAAATCTCAACTATTAACAAAAGAACTAATTAAAACTAATTAGGCTTATAAGGGGATTTAAACTCTAGTTCCACCCTAAATTACCCACAAGTCAAACCATCTAGGCTAGGTTTTCTATTGGTAACCAAATCACAACATTAAACACTAATTAATAAGCTAATAACTATGTTTTCTTAATAAAACTATTACGAGCTAAGAGGGATTCGAACCAAGGCCAACTAAAAAGCTAAGCATGCATATAACCACTACACTCATTAACCTTTTACTACCCAAACCATCCTTAAATCTAATAAACACTAATCTAAACAACAACAACAACAGCAAGGTAACCGAAGCTCACCAACTGCCATCTTCTTCTTCGTCTTCTTCATGATGCCTTGCCGCGAGTGGAACCACGGCGATACCACTGCCCGTGCCACTGCTCTGCTTCCCGGAGACAAACCATGCCGGAAAACCCCCCACGCCGTCGATCTACTTACTTCGCAAGAAGAACAAGGATCGCCGAAGAGGGGAGGGACCACTGCCAAAATCGTTGCTCTGCTTAGTCGGGGAAGGAGGGGACGCCGGAGAGCTCTACATCTCGTCCAAGCCACTTGCTGCCGAAGGGGAAAGCTTGCTCCTTTACTCACGCCGGAGGAGAACCCCAAGACACAGATGCCTCACGCTGGACGATGCTTCTTTTCACCGTGCCCTCTGCTCACTACTCTCTCGATGATGTTAGATGAAGGGGCGGTGAGGGATGGAATAAAGGAAAAGGAAGGATGAAGATGATGGTTCTAAGCTTGCATGGTTGAAGAAGATGACCTCCGGGTTCAACGCTACACTCCGTGCCGACGGGAAGTTCGAAAGGAAGAAGAAGGTTGCGGCTGGAGTTCCTACTGCCTCATGAAGGAATGCCAAGAAGATGAATACTTAGGTATACACATATGCACATAACACAATTGGTGGGTTTACTAAATGGGTTGGGTTAGGAAGTTGGGTTGGTTAAATCTTTTTGGGTCAAGGACCATACATACATATATAAATTGGGCATACAAAATAATAACACATATATACTCATGGGCTTAGCTATTTGGGTTCAAGGCTCTTACAATAAATAATTATATCTTTGGGGCTTAAGGCATTTGGGTAAAAAAATATTGGTTCACAATCATAGGTATACCCGATCCCATTTTAAAATAAATAACTATATAAATATTTTTATTAAAAATATTTAATATCGGGACTATAATTTACGTTAGGAAAATACGGGGTGTCACATGTGTCATCTGCATGTAGGTAGGGTTATTAATGTGTTATTGGATAAGGAGTGGTGCTTTATTAGTTAACATGTGGTGTGCAGCTATTGATTTGGAATCTTTTGGCATTTGCGATAAAGATAATTCAACTGATGTTTGTGGAGAAGGCAGTGGTGGTGTTTGTGATGAAGGTAATCCCACTGATGTTGGTGTAGAATGCAGTGGTGATGGTTGCGATGAAGGTAATGCGACTGATGTTGGTGTAGGAGGCAGTGGTGTGGGTTGTGATGAAGATTATTTGACCGATGTGGGTGTACAAGGAAGCTCATGTGAGTTGGAAATTTCTCCTGGGTTGACTAAGTATTGGCGCCCAGTTTGTGGTGACAGTTTGAAGCCTCTCGTTGGGCAATGCTATTGTTTTTTATAAACAATATGCTGGGACTGTTGGGTTTGATTGTAGGCAGCACTCAATTCAGAAAAGTAGGGATGGTGTTGTTGTGGGGAAGTATGTAGTATGTAATCGTCAGGGTTTTAAGCAGAGGGTTTCTAGTGTTGCTAAAACTACTTAGGCGAGGAGACGGAGGGTGACAAATAGGGTTGGTTGTAAGGCTAAGGTTGTGATAAAGCTTAAGTCTAATGGTTTGTATTTTGTGCATTCTTTTGAGGAACGTCACACCCATTCGATGTGTTCAATTATTGCTAGGCAATTTTTAAAGGTGAATCGTAGCCTTGATGCTGGGCACCAAATGTTTATTGCGAGTTGCGCTCGGGCAAATATTGGCTCTGTTCGGTTATATAGGTTGTTTAAAGAGATTGTTGGTGAGTATTCCAATGTTGGGGCTACAGGTGTGGATTTTAAGAATTTCAAGCGTGACCTGATGGCGTACATTCTAAATGGTGATGCTCAATTATTCATAGATACGCTTTTCAAGAGACGTGAATTGTGTGAGGCTTTTGATTTAGAATATGATGTTGACGAAATTGATCAGCTTTCAAGGGTTTTTTGGGCGGATGCAGTATCTAGGAAGAATTTTGCTTTTTTTTTTGGTGATGTTGTTTCATTCGATGCTACATACCGTACTAACAGGTTAGTATTTATTTTTATTATGCATGTTGTATATTTATGTGGTGCATGATTCCATGCCTTATGGTGTGTCTTGTTAGAAGTATGGTGTTAACTGATCGTTGTGTTGTAGGTATAAGTTGGTTTTTGTTCCGTTTACTGGAATTGATAACCATAAGAGAGCCATCACCTTTGGTGCTGGTTTGCTTACAAGGGAAGACGTAGACTCATATGTGTGACTTTTGGAGAAATTTAAGAATACTATGTTTCATGCCCCTATTTGTGTTGTTACTGATCAAGATCCAGCTCTCAAGGTTGTTGTTGCTCGTGTGTTTGGTACATCAAAACATAGATTTTTCATATGGCATATAATGTGCATGGTTGGTGAGATGGTTGGACCGGTTTTGTCTAAAGATGAAGTGTTTAGGAGGAAGTTGAATGGCATCGTTTGGAACAAATCTCTGGACTCCAAGTCTTTTGAGGATGCATGGAGTTGTATTATGGAGGAATATTGTTAGGGTGACAATGGTTGGTTTCGTTACTTGTTTGAGTCTCGTACATTTTGGGCATCCCCATATTTTTGAGTCTCGTACATTTTGGGCATCCCCATATTTTCATGACGAGTTTATGTCAGGATTGGTTAGGACAACGTCTCGATCAGAGTCTCAAAATAGATTTTTTGGTACGTTCTCTAATGGTCATTCTAGTTTGGTTGAGTTCTTGGTGCATTTTGGAAGTGTTATTAGTGCGCAGCATCATGCACAAGCAAAATTGAATGTTGATTGTGAATAAAGTTTTCCTATTTTGAAGACACCATTGGCTTTGGAGAAGCATGCAATGGATGTTTACACCATTTCTGTATTTTATGATGTTCAAGTAGAGATTTGTGCAGCTTGTTATTCGTGTCAAGTGGCATCTTTGTGCGATTGTGATGGTCATGTGTCCTATGGGATAAAAGATGGTGCCCAACGGGCATGGTATGTGGAGCTAGTCTTGTCTGATTACACTGCTACTTGTTATTGCAAGATGTTTGAGCGGATGGGGTTGTTGTGTAGGCATTTTTTTTTTTTTAAAGATCGTGGGCTTGAGAGTATTCCTTCTAGGTATTTGGTGTCTCGGTGGACATAGAGTGCTTGTTTGAAGCCAATATTTCATATTGATGATATAATTGTTGATCAATCTTCTAAAGTGGAGAACGTTAGGATTTTTACTAATCTATTGTGGTCTGACATATATGCTTGTGTGGGCTTGGCTGATGGTAATATAGAACGTTTGGCACAGCTACGATGTGTTATTTGTGAGAAAAGACAATTATTTCTCCAAGATGGGAGTGAGAATGGCAGTGGGGTGGTGGCTAGTGGCAGCAAACAAAGTGTGACCAACTCATTTTGTGGATCTGTGTCTCAGGGGTCAACAGTGGAGGTGCGTGATCCTATTCAAGCTAATAACAAGGGTAGGGGTAAGCGGTTGAAGAGTACAAGGGAGAAAGCTGCTAGTAAGTGTGTAAAGCAATCAAGGAAATGCCATACTTGTGATGAATATGGTCATAATAGTAGGACATGCCCTTTAAATGGTTAGATACAGTTGTGCAGTTGATTTTGGACCTATATGTTTTCACAGTTGCGCACACTTCTTATAACATACAGTTGTGCATTTTATTACAGTACTTGGTGCGTTTTAATACATAATGTGGTGCATTTAAGTACGTCGAATGCTTTTATGTTTGGAATGATGTGTTTTATTCCGTATTGTGGTGCATTTTTATATGTGGAATTTTGTTGGCTGTTAATTATTGTGTGGTGCTTTTTATGGTGAATTTTGCATGTAACAAGTGGAATGGTGCATGTTATTTTTTATAATGGTGTTTTTGGTGGGGTCTTTTAAAAATGAAGTTTACGCATGATAATACTGCATTTATAGCGCTGCAAATGGTTTTGGCCTTCACAAGTAGCCATCACAAAATATCGATTGTCTAGAAGTCATATGGTCTATGCCATGCCATCACAAAAATGTTTACATGTTTGAAAGTCTCCTTAAACCCCAAACTCTGTTGCCTTCTGTATGTGTATTTCTCTCAGTTCGTTCACATCTGAGGTGATCAAGGCAGCCAAAGTATCTCACTCTTAGCTTGTTCAATTGTTCTTTGTTGTTTCTCTACAATCCACAATCCCATTCTTCAGCTGTGTGTCCACGGAAGGTTTCCAAATGGCGCATTAAAAAGATGCCACAATCCTTTTTGTTATGTGCATCTCTCCAAGGCATCTTCATTATCTTAGACTTCAGCTTCTTTACCTTTTCACCTTTGTACGTGGATTTCTGTTCGATCAACATCTTTGAAAAGAATTTTTGCTGCATCAAGGAATTGTACAATAATCTTAGTTTTTTGTGTGTCTTTGTGTATTAAATATATATAGTCATGTAGTGCTCAGTGGGTTACCAAATTGTCATGCACATATCTGTATTTGTTCTGTTTCTTCACAGATGCCGAAGAGTTGTCAATGATGTCAAACCTTCCATTATTAGGCTAACAGACAACAGGTAGTAGTGGTTGGATGCCACTATAGGAAACAGAAACTGTCATAACAAAAACACGCCATATGTGTCATAATATACACCATAATATGATTAGTAATGCAACGCAAATAGGCAACTGCTAGAATGTACAAATTAATGTATAACAAATAGGCAACTATTATATATATATATATATATATATATATATATATATATATATATATATATATATATATATATATATATATATATATTAACATCTTACGTATACAATTTTGTGCCACATGATGTCTTTAGTAATCGCCTTGTCTTGAAGGTACTTTTCTTTGAATCTCGTAAATCTCAAATCTTAATCTCCCTGCGTGTTCACCATTGTGTACAGCTGCAAATTTCAATGATATGTTTGTTAGAACTTTAGGGGTTTTAAAGGTGTAGTTAGTTTTATATTTTTTGCTTACACTTGTCCAGGTTGAAGCAATGAATTTTGTAGAACCTCTTTCTCCTTCACGAATGTTTAGTATGGCTGCCCAAGCATCAATTGTAGAGACTGGAATCTCTGTATCTGGCGCCATTAACAACATATCTCTCCAGTAGATTACTCTTCCTTCATACCTTAATAGTTCTTGCTCACTGGTAATAACGTATTGTATAAGCAACAAAAATATTAATACATCAACATTATTAAAACATACACCAAAGTTATATTAGTAACACACCATTAGAAGTTAATATTTTTATTTAATGAGAATACACCTACATATATACAGATATACACTAATAATTCTTGAGTAACACACAACACCTAGGCAACTAATGTGACCCACCCGATGTGGAAGCACAAACAATCATATAAACACACCAATAGTTATCGAATAATGCACTTGTTAATATATGATATCTATACACAAATATTATAATACAATGCACCAAATATATTTTAGAAATACACCAAGTTTAGAATGTGTTGTGCTTACAGTTCTAGGTTAGGGTTTTCTAATACTTATTGCCTGATTGATTCCTCTGTTGAAGTTATTGGGGTTTCCAGATCAGTTGCATATATGCGGGCTTTAGGCCTGATTGGGTTGTTCCCTCTAGCTGGTCTCTTTCCTTTGTCTAATGGTTGGGGTGGGGGTGGTGGATCTGAATCAGGTCCCTCTTGACATTGGTCTGCTGGTGTGACCTGTAACATTCAAATTTTAATTTTTTTTTTCTTTTTTTTTTCTGTTGTCAATTTAATACAGTGCATTACCTCATCATTGTTGTTACCAGGTGCATCTGGTTGAGCCTCCTGCCCATCTTGTTGACCTTCATTTGTTTCTTGACCCTCATTCATATTCAGCTCAAGTTCTTCATTTTCCATAGCCTGATCAATGTTTTGGTAGTCTTGTGCAATATCATTCACTTCCGTCCAACGTCTATTTTGTTCCTCTGGTGTCAATCCCAGGCTGAAAGATGGCATATCATTTAGAAAATTTATCTTGTTTATTGCACGGACGATCTCATCTACCGCTCTCAAGAACTCAGGGTGACTCCAGTAGGCATATTCTCTCTGAGTAAATGCCAGTTCTCCATCCTCTTGTGCTCTGAATCCAAGCATTTGCCTAGCAGATTCAAACATCTGCTTGAATGTATCATGCTCCAATACTGCTGCAGGTGCATTTTCAATTAGCCTTGATATTCTCAGTAGACTCTGTGCATTTGACCTAGTGTGGGTGGTAATCTCATCAACAAACTCCTGTATATGAAACACTATATTATAAACACACCAATATATATTGTAGTATGCACCAAATATTTCTAAAAAGTACACCACAGTCAGATTATGCACCATATTACACACAAAATGCACCAATTACCATTGCAGTGTTTGGTTTACCTGTAATCCTTGTGGCAGTGGTGGGGTCTCTTCTTGTGGTGTGGTGGGGGTGGGGCCTCACAATATGTTGTGATCTCTAGTGGTAAGGCAGTATCAACACGTCCATATCCAAATCCTCCAGACTTGAGCTCATCCTGTTGTCGTTGACGGAGCAGCTTAAATGTCCAGTTATTCATGGCAGGGGAGCTTCTTGGGACAGCCCTCCGGTAGAGCACCACACGGTCAACATAGAATACCTGCATTTGGTAGTTTAGATTATTAATAGGTTGATGTGTAATTAATTACAAGCTTTTTGAGTGTCTATTTACCGTTAGGAAAACAATTGGTCCTCCAAACCTTCCATCACTGCTTTCGAGCCATGTCTTCTTGCTTGTGATGAGTGAATTGATGAGCATTCTACACCAATTGAGCCTCTTGATGTTGTCAACTTGACGCAAGTTGTCAATGTAGTTTTGGTTCACATAACCATTTACCTGTGGCTCTACCAACACAGTCATAACAAGTAGTGCAAAATGCCGTTTGAACCAAGGGTCAGCAGTTCTCAATGTCAGCATTTTTTTAGGCATTTTGCGTGGGGTGAGGTGGCCGTCAGCCCTCCCAACGATTTTTCTCCAGTCTGTCAGGAGATCAGATACTGCTTTACTTTCCCTCTTAGTGATTTCTATGTCTCCAAGCGGCAGTCCCAATGTCACAGCAACATCTTCTTCTGTGATTTGTAGTTTTTGGCCATTTTGCAGATTCAATGTGTTGCTCTTTGCGTCATAGTTTTCAACCAGCCACATCCCCAATTTCCTTGGAAGGTTTGTGATTTTGAGGTCAAGAATCCTTCACAGCCCAATGTCTTTTATACTCTGGCGTTGTTGATTGGTTACAATGTTAATGGGTTTTGTTAGCTATGTTGGAAGGGGCCTTATATTTAATTCAGTCTCTTCATTCTCTTGCTCTAATGTGTCTATCTCATCATCTGAGCGATCATCAAATTCTTGTTCATGCGCTTCTTCATCCGGTTCTGTGTCATCTTCCATTCTGTCAAGGAATGACATTGCTTCCTGTTTTCTCTGCTGTTTTGGCCTTGACGAGTCTCCTTGTTCTAATGTCTTTCTTTTGTTGTCTGCATGAAATAATTGAAATTATTCTAAATATGCACTGCTTACAAATTCCAGAAAGCACCAACAACAAAAAAATTATAGACTACATTCATGTGGATCCTGTACAAAAACAACATGCAATGAGGTGCACTAGTCTGAAATGCTCAAAAATACACAGATGGTGGGATAAACATACACTATGCGCAAAAATTAAACACACAACAACCTTTTTTACCAATATTCAAGTTCCAAATTCCAGAAAACACCAAGAATAAACGATATATACACTACATTGATGTTAATCATAAACAAACAACACGCAATGAGATGCCCTAGCCTGTAATGCTAAAAAATACACCAACTGTAGGATAAACATGCACAGTGTACAAAAATTAAACTCACAACAAGTTTTTTCCCAATATTCATGTTCCAAATTCCAGAAAACACCAATAATAAACGAAATATACACTACATTCATGTTCATCATAAACAAACAACACGCAATAAGATGCCCTAGCCTGAAATGCTCAGAAATACACCGACGGTAGGATAAACATGCACTGTGTACAAAAATTAAACACACAACAACTTTTTCCCCAATATTCATGTTACAAATTCCAGAAAACACCAATAATAAACGAAATATACACTACATTGAAATTCATCATACACAAACAACACGCAATGAGATGCCCTGGCATGAAATGCTCAAAAATACACCGACGGTGGGATAAACATGCCCTGTTTACAAAAATAAAACACACAACAACTTTTTTTCCCATATTGAAGTTACAAATTCCAGAAAATAGCAATAATAAACGAAATATACACTGCATTAATGTTCATCATGCACAAAGAACATGCAATGAGGTGCCCTAGTCTGAAATGCTCAAAAAAAATACACAGATGGTAGGGTAAATATGTTATTTGACACATTCAAGTGAAATATTCCAGAATACACTAATAATAAACGAAATATACCCTGGCATGCTCGTTGTTTGCCTTTGTTCGCCGTTTTTTTGTTTTGTAGTGGAGCGGTGTTGTAGTATAGGCTTCGTATTCCTCTCAGAACGCTGTGGTGCGTACGACTCTAGCCTTTTCTCTGTTCGTCGTTGCAGTCGTTCGTCTAGCCTTCGTCGCCAGAGCTGGAGTAAGTTGGAGAGGTTTCGCACTTTGGGATTGTGAATATGTAGATGGGACAGGTGTTACTTGCAGAAGTGGGAAAGAGATGATTTTGAATTGAATTAATGGATAAGTTTGCCCTCCTATGCCGCGGTGATGTCTAAGTGTAACGCTCAATCAGGAAGAAGTATGGTGCGTTAGATTAGAATTGATCAACGGCTGGGATATAACCTCACCGCCTCACCTAAGCGCATAGCCGCATCTGATCTTGCCTTTATAAATGTATATATATATATATATATATATATATATATATATATATATATATATATATATATATTAAAGCAAAATGATTAGGAAAAAAATTTTCCCTCCAAAGTGTGAAAGCATTTATTTTATTCACATTACTTTATAAATTCATGTAATTTTAATTACAAATCTAATGAACATCAACATAATTATTAAATTAGTCAACATAACATGTCTATATCATTAATTTATAAAATATTGCATATATTATATTTTATATCTCTATCTCTTCTCTTCTCTCTCTCTCTCTCTCTCTCTCTCTCTCTCTTTATATATATATATATATATATATATATATATATATATATATATATATATATATATATATATATAATTATTAGTATATATTAAAGCAAAATGATTAGGAAAAAATTTCCCCTAATCATAATCATCATAAATAATTAAATAAAGATGAAAAGAAAATCAAAGTGAATAATAAGCAAAAAGATTTTAGTGGATAGGAGAGTAATTCACAAAATTAATTTGAGTAATAATTGTTGATCCATAATTGAGAATTAACATTGCAATAATTATGTTATGTTTCTAACATTAATTGATTGGAGATAAATTTAAAATTCAGAATCAATATTTACATGAACATCTACACCTACTTCAAAACTATAAATAAACCATCATCCAGAAGACTACAACCAATACTACAATTATGTTTTGGTCGTGGCTGGAATTGGGAGGATGGTTGTGGCTAAAATAGGGAGAAGAATATTTCTGGGAGTTTAGATTTCTTATAGAGCTTTATACCGTGCGATCTGGGGAAGATGAATCAAGAAATGTGTGACATGAAGAAAAAGCTGAGGATAAAAATCATACCTTGCTTTTGAAACTAGGGCTTCGATTCTTGGAGCTGTACTTTCTTGGAAACAGAGGCAACTGTTAGCCGTAGCTGATGAACGCGAAGAAGAAGAAGTAGCTTACGTAAAAGGAATATTTTGCCCTCATGAATAAATATTTTAAAAAGGTTTAAGTTTTTTCGGCCAATTTCTACCGATGATTTGGCCGGAAGGACCAAATATGCTAAAAAAAATATAGTTAAAGGACTAAATTGTTAGTTTTAAAAGTCATGGAGCAAAATTAACACGCCCCCTATATATATGTGTGTGTGTGTGTGTGTGTGTGTGTGTGTGTGTGTGCAAATCTAGTCTCTATGTACCTATATCGTTTGCACTTCTATGCCCCTATATGATATATGTTGTTTGATGGTGGGTAAACAAACTATTTTCCAAACTTATATATCTATATCTATTTTACGGGGTAGAGTCGTTTATACATAGCATTTATGCTAACGAGTTACTTTTCCTTATTTTCTTGATAACTTCTTTCAGGTATCGATTGTGTGAATGCCGAGAGCACTTGATGAGTTAGTTAGATTAGTTATTTTTGCTCAAGCTCCTAGAATCCTATTTCCCTCCTTTATGCCCAGTTTTGTGATGAGAAACATTGAGACTCATGTTTTAGATTGATGTAGAGGTGGTTATTTTTTTTTTGGGAGGGGGGGCGGGGGGGGGGGGGGGGGGGGGGTTATTCGGTGTATGGACACACGGGCCTGCGAGCCCATGATGTTCGATGTTTTAGACTTTGGATTGTAGTAGTAACCCAGTAATCATTCTATTGAGGGTGGCTTCGGCGGTAGCATCCCCTGGTATGCATAGGATGTTAACTCTTTAATGTGAATATCTATTATTAAGTTCCCAATCCTTATCTTTAATGCATAGTTTAAATTAGGAAATTTTGGGGGTGTTACAAGTTGGTATCAGAGCCCTAGGTTGAAGTTCTAGGGAATTGTTAAGGATTGACTGTAAGAGCCTAGGAATTGATCTATAAGAAATGTGCTTAACGTTTGAGACTTTAAGTCTTATGAATTCCTTGAGATTGTGAGATTTTTGCGCATGTTTATTGATATTATGTGACTTGTCTTTTCTTACCTATTTATTCCCTTTTAACTGTGGCTTTTGCACCGGAAAGGTGTGCATCTAATTGATGAGTCATTTCCTCCTAGGCAAGTTGTGGTTTTCCATGCTTTGTATGCAATTTGGATAGGAATATATGTGAACTAGAGGATTATATATTGCTATGTGCTTGTATGCCTTTTATGAGTATAAGGTTGTAGAATAGGATTGCGGTAAGCAATCGCTAGTAATTACAAGTGGTTCCTGTAGTATCGCGATGGTGCCGAGAAGAAGTGTTGGGACTCCGAGCATTCAGGGAACGAATATTCCTATCAATGGGGAACCATAGATTTAAAGGAACATGTGAGGCCAAAACAAGAGAAAATTTGAGGAAGATGTGAAACAGGTAGGAAAGAAATCAATACTTGGCCATCATGATCGAGTCAATGGTATTCGAATGAACCATTGTAACACCCTCTAAAAACCAAGCTATTTAAAGCCTTAAAACATGCAGATAACTTAAACCAAAACACCAAACACAGCGGAAGACTGAAAGATAAGATATATAAAACGAGGGAACGGGGTGCTATGCCACGCTCACCCAAGGGTGAACGCACAGGCTAAATCTGCAATGTTTAAATCTACAACCATCCAACAGAGTTCTATGTCTATACTGGCTCACAGGCCACTAAACACAAAGGGGAAACTATGCTAGCGGGCACTAGACCGCGCACTCATCTAAGCATCACCTGAAAGAAGCATATAAAACATGAGACGACGCCCGGTCAGCGAATAATGCTGGTAACCCACCAATACATGTGAAATATCATACATAGATAAGATATAAGTTTGTAAAGCCATTTTCGAAACGGAATACATATATATAAGTCCAAAAACAAGAGTAATAGTCAACACAAGACTCAAACACTCTCAACAAGAACACGGGAACACATCCCAAGACTACAAAGAACAACAACGACTCAGAAGAAGTCTCAAGGTATAATCTATCATCACACAATAGATTAATACCCGACATGCATAACTCAAAGGAATAAGACACAACAAACGACAACACATGCCAAGGCAACACATGCCTTTGTGACTACACACGTCACAAGAAGAGAACTCTCAACAACGGCTACACAAGCCCTCCTGACATCACCCATCACGAGTTGATATGCCTTCCTTATGCCCGGTTCCAACCTTATGGCTACCCCCAACCTTGTATCTTCTTCCAACCATTACCTCCAGGACCCCTGTACTTCTTAGTCCAACCTTTTCCCTCCTGGGACCGTCGTCCCCCACCAACGAGACCAACAATTTCATAGTACACGAGGGTACCGATCACACACGGCAACATATGCCCTGGATAACACATGTTATCCCAGAAATAAACACATGAACCTTACACAAAGGCCATAGATCCTTAATCACGTCATGGCCACCACGAGGACCACTGCAATACCTTGGTGACTAGTGTCCCATACCACTAATCGTGCAATCCAAGTAAAGCCACACACACATCACACCTCAACAGGAATCAATCAACGGATCACAACGAAGATATGAAACCATACTCAATCAAGGAATGGATCACAGTCCAAGAACAACAACGATGAATAACACAAGTTATCATCAACCAGTAGGAAGGTACAAACAACACACATGCTAGCATTTAAATATCGAACTAGCATGCTTAACAAACGGGTAAACCAAACGTAGTTCCGAAGAACACACAAGACCCATCACGGTTCAACGAAACACAATGTTGAACACTTAGCACGATTCAAGACACCAAAACCTACATGGATTCCTACCATATAGTTCTAGACATACGAAACATCAAGAAGACACTCAAATAGTTCCACAAAAGAACATCGGGAAGTCAAAATACCAAATACCGAGTCAAAAGAATCACGGGGAACAAATCCCGATCAAACACCAAAGTGTTCCCCGCGGGTGGACCCACGGGTAGCTCCCACCCGTGGTTCCGCCCGCGGGTACACTACCCACCGGCCATATGTTCCCCGCGGGTGGGCGGCGGGTGGAGCTCTACCCGTCGTTCCGCCCGCGGGTACATACTTGTGTCCAAAATAATCCCTTTGGGAATTTCCAACTCCAAGCTCAAATTCAAGTCCAAAACATGCCAAATCTCACCAAATACAACAAAATGACTTGAATCAAAGGAATAGCCAAGCAATGGCATACAAGAACCCTAAACACAAGCTCTAGATATGCATTTTCACAAGACAATGCATAAACACTCACATTTCATAGGAAAACACATGTAGAATCCAAGAAATATTCACATAGGTAAGCAAAATAGATTTTGTAGAGCATGGGTTACCTCTTGTAGACCCAAAACCTTCACTTAACACCTCACCAAGCTCCTATCAAAGCTCACCTTCCAAACCCACTTCAAGAACATACCAAAAGATCATAAAGATCCTATCATTAAGAAAAGACACCTAAGAGAACACTAAAAACACAAGATGACCATGGATCTTACCCTCCTAGATGCCCAAATGTATGAAAGGTAGAATCTTGGAGACAACTCTTGAAGTCTTGACTAAACTTCAACTTGGCTTGGAAGAAAAGCTATCCACCTTTTTAGAGAGAAGATGGAGCTAGGATTTTGGAAAGTGTAAGGATAGAAATGAGGTGTTCTCACTAGGTTAGGTTACAATACTAACACAAGGTGAAAGGTCAAGAATACCCTTACTAACATGGAAAGGTGTAAGGAACAAGGGAACTCCTTACAAAGCTCAAGGTACAACTTTCACTATGGGGTTGACTAGTCAATTACTAGTCCCCGACTATTAAATTTCAGGAATTTAAGGAATTAAATTACAAATTGAAATAGGATTAATTACTTAATTAATCCCTTAACAGAATTTGGATTTCGGGGTGTTACAACCATGGTACGACGAACGGGAGTAATCGCCCAAGTCAAGACCCGAGCGTGGTAAGGAAGAATCAAACTGGAGGAAGACACTACTACTGCAAGAGATGCGGGAAGGACCACCCAATGGCCAACTGTCGAGGGAACCCGATCAGGTGCTTTAAGTGTAAAAAGGTGGGACACCGAGCCTTTGAGTGCTACGCCAGTCAGAATGGAAATCCCTTAAGTCAAAGACCTAGTGAGAGTGGAGGACATCAAAAGAGAAGATCATTTGGAAACAAGTTTGGGAATAATCAAGACAAAGGTGGGAAAAAGGACAACATTGACAGTAACAAGAGTAAGGGAAGTAGGAAGGGTGGCCGAGACCAAAGTAGCAAAGGTGGTAACCAGCTTATGAGTGGAGATCAAGTGAGAACTGATGGCATGGAGACACGTACATTTCTAATGAATGTCATACATACTTAAGTATTATTTAATTTTGGTACTACAACTCTTTGTGACTCTTATGTTTTGGATAATCGGGAGTTAGAGTCAACCTCTAAGAAAAGGGTAAGCGCTGAGACTTAACTCGTGAGTTGTGGTTAGAGTGAACTCTCTTAGAAGGACTTAGATCCCCTTTTAAGTTCAACTTAGCATCGGGGAAAGATTGTTGGTATTCAAGACGGATTGTTTAGTTTAAGCAAAGTTAAAGTTTTGCGAAAGTAAATCTTTTAAGGTCGGGAAATTTATAAGGAGGAGAATGAGTAAAAAGAGAATTTTGGTTTGCAAAAGGACTTGAACACGTACGCTAACTTGAGGAAGTGAGACTTGAC